AGCAATAAGCACTCGCTGCAGCTCACTTACGCCATTCTACATTAGTCTCCTAAATCTTGTTCAGTCGCACCTTGAGGCTGATTAAAGTCTCTGTTATTACCTCTATCATTTAGTTTTGTCCTGCTGTCTGTCCTGCTGTCTGACCTGATAGTTCTCAGCTTCTACTCCTGTTCTCCTGAATAATGAAAGACACAAACCGTCATCCTGGCTGTACTGTTGCTGTTAGGCCTGCCTGTCTCCCAGGTGCTGCTGCCATTTCTGCTATCCTACCTTTGTAGATGTTCTGACAGCAAATTCTGTTGTATCAGTTTACCTTCCAGTAACGGTGCTAAATCCTAACACAGCTCTGCTCATTAAGCTCAGGAACAGAAGTGTGCGCTGCCTTTGTTTGATGTGTAGGTTATTTTTAAATTCCACAACATGCCATTGCTCTTGGGTGGATTTACATAACCAGCATTCTGTTCACAGATCCGATCTGATAAGATAGAGATTATCATTCTGCATTTCATTAAAAACACTCATGTTCTGTCTCATGTTAGACTTTCAGCAATCCTTTTAGGGCACAATATTAGGAAACCTGCAATGTGCGATAACAGTGATTAATATTGCAATGACAATATTACTTGCAATAAATAAAAACTTAACTAAGGAACAAAAATGATAAAAGACAAATAAATTAAAAAATGACAAAAAATCATAAAAAGGAGAAAAGCAAAAGATGTGAGGAAAGGGAAAATGATCAAGAAAAGACAATCAGTGGATCCCAGGAAAAGCCTAATCAGCAGAAAGAGCAGAACAAAGCTAACTCAGGTGTTTGCTAACCATCAAAATGAAGTGCTGTCCGCCTCGGGGGCGGGCATCTAACCTATGAGAACCCACCATTTGGCCACATGGGTGAAGAGCTCTATTTGATTTGTTAAAAAAAAACAACATTCTTCCATTTGATTGACAGAAATCATTATGTGTAGCAAACATTTGAGCTGACCATTCATTGTGATGTTTATCTGTTCTTTGCGATATGCATATTGCACATGCTGATATCGCAGTAACAATATATTGTGCATCCCTAAATCCTTTCTAGGTCTGGAAATGTTTGATAGTGATGTGTCAGTCGCGAACGAACCGGCTCTAAGAGCCGGCTCTATGAAGTGAACGACGGGAGCCGGCTCGTCATTGAGAGCCGTCCTCTCCCCTCCCCTCTTGCTTTGGTGAAAGCTACAGGCGATTAGTCAACATGTGTAACTGCGTGTCCAGACTGTCCACACACAGAGCAGTAGGGGCGGGGAAGAGGGAGGATCAGACTCAGACACACAGCAGAGCACATGCGAGTGGAGGGAGACGAGAGGGAATGAGGAGGAGGAAAAAGGCGAGCGAGAGAGAGGAGAGTGTGACGAAGACGGTGAGAAAATGAGTGGCAGCAGTCGGAAAGTGGAGATTTCTTAAAGTGTTCGGTTATTAAATCCATAGAAATGATAAAATATTTGATATATTGCATTTTTTTTACATTAGTAAATCATTTTACATATAGTCTTGCATTATTTTGGTTATAAATGGACTCTATGCAACAGAAAATCTGAGGAGCCACTTGGGAGCCGAAAGAGCCGGCTCTTTTTGGTGAGCTGAGCCAAAAGAACCGGCTCTCTAAAAAGAGCCAGAATTCCCATCACTAATGGATGACTACTCTTAGCTGATCAACCGCTTGTGAAGGCCTCAGTTATCATCTTCTAGAGACAACAGGACTTTAGAACAAGTTGGGGCATGTCCTATACAGTTTCATGCAGGGAGAAGAGGTGGAAGTTGTACAGGAATGGACACCCAAGCATCCTCCCGGACAGTAGGTATAAAACTGATGGCAGGCATATGACACTGAGGTTGTTTGCAGGAAAATAAAAACATCTAAAGGACTCGTCCGTATGCCGGTGCACAGACAAAGCTGAGGCATACCCTCTAGAACAGTGGTTCCCAATCTGGGGTCTTCACAATTTAGTCAGTGCTAAGGTTAGATTTATAAAATATCAGTAACACATCATCATAAGTCTTTCTAAGAGTTATAATTCTCATTGTCTTTATAAATATTGTAATTAATCTCTTTCAATGCTTGTGTGGGTTGAGGTTGAGGGGGTCCTGGCTTGTCTTGGCAAGGGGGTCCTCATAGAATAAAGGTTGGGAACCACTGCTCTAGAAGTCTGTGGTGGGAAGTGTTTAGCTTTTTTTTTTTTTTTATCTTTGCAGCCATCTATTGGGGAAGTAACATCAGTGACTTAAAAAACTTGGAAGAAAATAAAGAGCAGCAATGAGCTTTAGCGGGCTGTGCAGTGGCACAGTGGTTAGAGCTGTTGCCTTGCAGCGAGAAGGTCCTGGGTTCGCTTCCTGGCCTGGGATCTTTCTGCATGGAGTTTGCATGTTCTCCCTGTGCATGCGTGGGTTCTCTCCGGGTACTCCGGCTTCCTCCCACAGTCCAAACACATGACTGTTAGGTTAGTTGGTCTGTCTAAATTGTCCTTGGGTGTGTGTGTGTGATTGTTTGTCCTGAGTGTCTCTGTTGCCCTGCGATGGACTGGCTCTCTGTCCAGGGTGTACCCCGCCTGATTGCCCATTGACTGCTGGAGATGGGCACCAGCCCCCCCGCGACCCTACCTGGACAAGCGTGTTCAGAAAATGGATGGATGGATGTGCTTTAGCCCCAGAACTGGTGCTGGAAAGGAAAATGCTGCACAAACCACTGAATATAATGAACAAAACACACCTTCTGCACCATCTACTGATGAACCAATGGAATATTTTTTGTCAGATGATAGCTATGAGAAACTAAAACTCATTCCTGCTTTAAACATTTACCGTGTGTGTTGACTGTACCAGAACAGGACACATGCTCGTATTCTACGAGGCATTGTGGTGGCACCCCTCAACAAATCGTTGTCATGTTTGATTTATTGTGTTGCTACATTTACAGGTAATTGCTTTTTGGGAGAAAACTTGTGTGCAAAGTGGCTAAGCTGGCAACAATGAGGGATGCTGTAATGAAATCTGCAGCTTGGACTTTTGCTGTCAAACATGATGAAAAGCAGGAGCAGGAGTGCTTTAACAGAAAAGCACACTAGTGTTCAGATTTACATGGGAAACACGGGATTGTGTTATACTGGTACAAACAGTAGTCAATAACTCCATTTTATTTAGAAAAATGCTTTTTTATGTTTTAAGAGTTTGTGTACCAGTTTCAGAGCAGTAGTTTGGTTTTTATCTGAGTAACAACAGTTAACTAAATATTTAAAATGTTTTATGTCTTTAATTTTACCAGATATTTCCCATAGCAGCATAACTATGTTGTCTATATCTGTTTTTGGTGACAAATCTCCCTGCCATTCATTAGGGGAGTACAGTATCAGGTTGCTGGGATATTATACAAGATTGCCTAGTGGTTAGCTTCTTATTTACAGTAAAATATTGCTTTCATATGTCGTAACTTGTTTGGATCGTTTCGTTGTTGACCCTTGTAACAGATTGCATCCCGTATACAGAAGTACACTGAAAAACCATGTTTTAATGTTTACGTCTGATTATAATCAGCCATTTTGAGTTTTTCATGCAGGCTGAACATGAAAATAGTCTCCTGCACCTACCTCCTGCATTATCTTCAGATAGAAAATAGACAGTGAAATCAACATTCATGGACTTACCCTTCTGGACTTGTGACGATTTAGCGTTCATGAAACAGCAGAGGACATCTCTAGCAGTAGCTCAGGTGGTAGAGCGGGTTGCCTCATGATCGGAGGGTCATGGGTTCGATTCCAGCTCCCGCCAGGGGTATCCTGCTGTTGTGTCCTTGGGCAAGACACTTCACCCAACTTGCCTGTGTTAGCGGTGGTCAGAGGGGCCGATGGCGCCGAATGGCAGCCTCGCCTCTGTCAGACCTCCTCAGGGCGGCTGTGGCTACAAATAGCTTACCATCACTAGCAGTGTGTGAATGTGAGTGTGTGTGGAAAGCGTCTTTGGGTGTCTAGAAAAGCGCTATATAAGTTCAATGCATTATTATTATTATCTCGGCTAATAGAAGCTAACCATTAGCATTAGCAACTCCGCCACACAGCAGAACTCCTCCAGGCTTTTATGGACATTAAACATCAATGTTGTAAAACAAAGTCAGTAGAGTTGTGTTGCTGTCATCCAATTCAAGACGAGATATCCAAATATCAGGAACTAAGACTCCAAATCCTGCCGTGTTGAGCTCTCTGCGGATGTGGCATTCTGTTAGTTCCTGAAACCCGCATCTGAGAGCCCCCTCTCGTGTACGACTACAAGGCCTTCATTCCTACTAGAGACCACTGAAATGTGTTGATTAAATGAGTGTTCCACACATTTTAACACACATCCGTGTGTGATCTGAAAACTGTTTTTCAAATAAACACGGTAAAGCTGACGATAATAATTTCTTGAGTGACATTTGTAGCTTTTGGTGAGCTTTTATCTTCACATTGTTGCTATTTGCTGAGCAGATAGTTATTATTGAATTATCAAATGTTTCTTCATTCTGCTTTCACACTATTTTAAATGATCCTTTTATTAATCCAAACCAGATCAACCAGTTTCAGTATAATAGTAGTTCATTTTTGTGTCCACTGTTTTGTTTTTTACCAACCTTTTAGTTCTCATGTTGAACATCTGTCACCCTTTTAGCGTGTTTCAATGCTGCACATGGTTCACAAAGACAGGTGCATTAGGATCGGCTAAAGCTCTTTTCTTTGTGCATGCTTGGTTGAATTCGGGAAGCCAGTCAGCTTTTATCCACATGGCACATTATATTTTCCCTGTGAAGTCTATTTTTTAAGTCTCAACTCGTAAGAAATGCTCCGATTTAAGTTATAGTTAATTGATAAATGCTGTATTTAATTCTGAATGGGAATCTCAAATGCTGCAAACAGTTCAGATAGATTTCTTTTAGACATCTGAGTTCATGAATGTGTTTATTAATCCCATTTTTCTTTTCTTGTGTTTCTTTTCAGGCCTATGGTTCAGGTTGTGATGTGGTGATCTTGGCTAGTGACTTTGACTGTGTTCAGATCATCCCAGGAGCTCAGAATGGAAACATACAGGTGGGCTGCGTGGAGTGTTCCCACCAGCTTGGCAGGGTAAGTGTTCACTGCTCCCTCACAGCCAATCCCACACACAGTTTTAGCCCTCCATTGGAGCAGGAAGGCTTTACGGTTACTGCTAAGCATAACGAGGTAGCCATGTTTGCACTTATCTTGAACACCAAAGCTCGATTTGCTCTCCTGCTCTTCTCCCATCTACCTCTTTCCTCTTGGGAGTGACATTGCAGGAGCACTGATGGGGTGAGTAATGTTTTGATGATGAACACAGCTCTTTATTTTTAGATCGCTGCTTCTTACGGAAACACGGTCTGCATCTTTGAACCGCTTTCCACCAATCCAAATAAGTGCCACAAGGTGAGTACGAATGTCAGCACTTTCAGCTAATGTAGTGATTTCAGTCAGAACCTAGTAGATTTAATGTAACCTGTGTGCAAATAACATCGCATGGTGTATCTCGCCTCTCCTACCACTAACAGCTACTTAATTATCAGTGGCAAAAGACAGGACAGTTCTTTCTTGATGCCATCACCTACACCCTGGCCTGGGACCCACAAGGTACACCTGTGCTTTCTGTGTTTAACCTATACCAGGAAAAAACAATGCACATTACACACAGCTTATGCCCCCAGCCCACTTTGATTTGTCTGGAATGACTTCTGTATTATGTAAGCATCACCTTTTGCATGAGGCCCTGTGTACTTTAGAAGTCATTGTGGGATATGAGGTGTGTAATTTGGTGCTTTTGGGACCTCAGGGAATCGTATCCTAGCAGCAGCTGAGCGACTCCAGCTGTGGGCTCCTCCACTGGCGGATGCTCTAATAGAGGAGGAGGATGGGCAGATGATTGAGGAGAGAACGCATCCTGTCCTAAATGACTGGAACTGTGTCTGGCAGTGCAAGTGAGTGTATACCGTTTTCTGTCCACGTGAAAATGTCACGTTAAAGCTGCAGTCTGGAGTTTTCCCCCTTTCAGGATTTATGTAGGATTTTTTTTAGAAGTCCCTAAAAATGATAGTCTTACCCAGTTCTGTGATTATAATGTAGGAAATACCTTTTTTTTTTCTTTTGCTAAGCCTGTCTCACGTCCTGTAGAGCCCCATGTAATATGAACTAAGTGCCGTTCAGCATAACCCACTAATGTTAGACATCCGCTTATGTACAGATATCAGTCACAGAGTGTGTGCAAGCGTTTGATGAAGTACCAAGACTGATGCAAGGTTTGCGGCCTTTCTCATGGACAAGTCTTTAAAATATTTGTAAATGAATAAACAGAACATAAGAATAATGATTGTAGAACTATGTGTTTTAACTCTGTTTGTCGACTAGAGGTGCACATTCGAGAAGCGAAGCTTTTGGCCGTTTAAACGGAAGTTAGAAGAATGTATTAAGTTGTGGTACATTTTTCAGCCACTAGATGGTGCTGTCAGATAAAAATACTCCTTATTGTAGCTTTAAATGAAACAGGCCTCTAGTGTCAGGAATGAAAGACAGCAAACATGTTTTCCTAGATAAGTAACCAGCAGACACAATGCTGACGAGACCCTTGTTCTGAAACTAAAACAAAAACGAACAGGAATTCTACGTGAATTTTTAGGAAGTATGCTTTTATTTCCCTGTAGAATCAGATAAGCTGTTACTGATTGTCCAGAAACGTCCGCCCTCACATTTTGTTGAGTCAGCAGCCTGTGTAAAGCCGTGCAAACAGACATGTAACACCATGTTACTAATTGTCATTTGATGACACACGAGAAGCCACCAGAACAAGGAAGCCCCACGTTTACCAGCTAGCAGTCTGGTGCAAAGATGACTCACAACCTGTTCGTTTGTGGAAAATTTCCTATGGAGAAGTGAATCTTGCTGATTTTGCGGTTTGTCTTTTATTTTTTTCCATTTTTTTAGGACTGCTGCATCTGTTCACACTGCCAAGTGGTCTCCTGATGGGGAGTACTTTGCAACAGTTGGGACGGTATATGACTGGTGTTTGTTAAACCACTAAAGATTTGCACCATTTTTTTGTTACCGTTGCGTATTGTGTATGTCGTGTGTGTGCAGGATGATTGTTTACTAAAGGTGTGGTATCCCACCACTGCCTGGCGCTCTGCAGTAGTGGTCCAGGATTCATCTGAAAAAAAGCCTGCTCCTGTTCACTTCTCCTTTGTTTATTTGGCCCACCCTCGCTCAGTGACTGGCATGTCCTGGAGGAAGACGAGCAAGTTCATGCCCAAGTAAGGGTCAACACACCGACCCGTGTGCAATGCATCGGGTTCTTCCGACAAACCAGAAGACAGCCTTTGGGACAAAATGGAATGATTTAAACAGAAATGTGCATTAGATCTGGGAGCCGCCATGCTTCTGTGTAATGGGCCAGCTGGCCACAGATGTGTGCAATGATAATTAGAGGAAAACAAAACCACTGTAAGTGGTATAAACTTCCATCAGGCACAGCAGAAAAGATGCTGACTCTCAACCCATCATTCATGGAACACACTTGGCTTAGATCTGGGAAGAATATCTTACCAACCTAATGAAGTTTATTTATCTCCATAAAACCACATGAATAAAATCTAAAGTAGAGATTAAATCTTTAAAATTGTTTTGTTATTAGTTTGATTTGATTTTCTGTGTCCTAGGGGTTCCGTGTGCAACGTGTTGCTTACTTCCTGTGAGGATGGCGTCTGTAGGCTATGGTCAGAAACCCTCTTACCAGAAGACAGCCTGCTTGGTGGGCAGATCACTGAGAACACACAGTCCTTTAGCACTAGCCTGCCAGGCCTGGCGGGAAATAAGGACAAGATCCAGCATGCTTTGGAGGTACACTCAGAAAAACACACACTACCACTCCTTCAGAAGATATTATTTAAATGTTATCGTTATTCTGTTGGTTTTTATTCCTGTTCTTTGTTTGCTTAGTCAATCCATCACCTGAAACAACTACGTCGAGGCCGGCGGAGGTCGTCTGCTCTGGTGGCACACAGTGACCTGCTGCTGCCCTCTCAGCATGGCACACAGGACGCTCACACTCATCGTCACATCGTCCAGCATGCCAACGCCCTATGTCACTTCCATATCTCAGCCAGTATTAATCCCAACACAGGTGGGTCATTTTTGAGATGTCACTTTCTCTTAACTTGTCTATTTTGTTTCATTTGAACGTTTTTCTTCTGAGCACCTTCATCCGTGCAACTTTCTGTGCTTTTTCGGTCTTCCCCTGACAGATATCCCGTCAACACTAGCTGACTCTACAGTATTCAACCCCGAAGATGGAACTGGTGGTGGAGGCTTTGTGGTTCACTGGCTCAACAATAAGGACCTCAGTTTCACCTCCTCTATGGACCTTTTTATGACGCAGCTCCGCAGATACACTGAACAGCAGCTGGAACAAACGACCGAAGACCCTCTAGATCCTGAAGGATCTCCTATGAAGTTTGACTTTGGTAAAATCCATGGTGAAGCTTACATTTGATGCTTCAAACGTGCTAAAAGCAGCACCACAAGATAAAAGCATAATGTTTTGTGATTTCCTAGATCTGGATGAGATGTCTGACAAAGCATCATCAGAACACGGAGAAGAAGTTGATTCTGGGGAGCAAGGGAGTACCAAGGCCTCCTCCCCGGGGTCCAGCTCCAGCATGCCTTTGCCCTCCATGCTGCTAGAGAGGAAGCTGGAGACTCTGACCACAGAGTGGAACAAGAGCCCCGACATGCTGTTCACTATACACCCCGCTGATGGGTCCTTCCTGGTTTGGCATGTGAAGTACTTGGATGAATTCAACCAGGGGATATTCAGACAGGTTCAGGTGAGGAAAAATAATCTTAGTTTTTGCAAGGAAATAGTAATAGATTATTTTAAGTTGCAAATTAACACTTAAATCCCTCCTGACTTCAGATTTCTAGATAAATCAGCTGACAAATTGGACCAAACCATGAACAATATGACCTAAAAAGCTTGCATTATATTTATGTAACTTGTAATCTGGACCTTTACTGGGCTGAAAGGTCTTGTAGAATTTGTGTTTTATATTGGTTTATTTATGTTTTTTCCAACTCTCCTCCCAGGTGTCCTTCTCCTCCCGCATTCCGGTAGCGTTTCCTGCAAGTGATGCTAACTCTCTCAGTAAAAACATCCTCATGTACGCCTGCACTTTGACTGAGGGTGAGAGCGCCGGGACAGGCGAGCAAGGACGAATGATCCAGCGTGTTGCCCGCTCTGCTTCGATCTCAGCTGGCCTGGGTCCAGCTGGTGCATCCCCATCACCGAAACTTCGCCCCGGCATAAGTCCTGCTGTCATGATGGTCTCCAAGCATGTAGACGGCTCTCTGAACCAGGTACAATAGTTGAGAAAAATAACTTTGTTTCTCCGAGGATCTTTACAAATAATCAGGAAATCTCTTAATTCAGTTTGTTTGTGTGTGTCCTGGTTTTCCCGGACGAATCACGTTCTTGACATTTGATTTCTTTCATCTACAGTGGGCCGTGACATTTGCTGAGCGCTCTGGCTTCTCCAATGTTCTGACAGTATCGCACAAGACCCGATACTGTGGCCACCGCTTCCATCTGAATGACCAAGCCTGCCACACCGTGCTTCCGCTGCTGCTCACTTCCTCTCACCACAACGCGCTGCTCACCCCTCCCTCTGCCCCGAGCAGTCTGGAAGGGGAGCAGCCTCCATCCTTTCCTCTACCAAAAGGTCTTCCCAGGTAAACAGCTGGTTTGCTGGGAGAACGATAGGTGATGTAGTTCTGACTGTCAGAAATGTTCAGCTGTTTTCCGGAGCTTTATTCTTTCACAATAAGAGCCACTCCCACAGAGGAGCCAATCAGAGTCATGCCGCTACCTCCCTCAACACCGTTTCATTTACTGCTCCACTGGCTTCCAGCACATTCACCGTGCTGCAGTGCTAATCAATATCACCTCTTGGGCTGCCTTAAAACAAGGCCAAAAATCTATTCACACTCAGATGAACAATCTGCACACTTAGAAATGGACTGCTTCCTTGAATTCTGTGAAGGTTATATCAAATCCACTGTCTCTGGTCAGAGCAGAATGCATCATTTGCATGTTGTAGTACATTTATGCATCACTTCCTGTATGCAAGTGGAGCTTTATGATGAGATAAAGAGACATAAAAAACGATCCAAGGCACGCTGTTAAAATCTCATTTTAGCTTGAAACACAACTTGTACTTTTGCATTAACAGGAAGCAGCTTCGTAACGCAGCCACAAGGACTTTCCACGACCCCAATGCCATTTACAGCGAGCTGATATTGTGGCGAGTCGACCACATCGGACCTTTGTCCTGCACTGGAGGGGTCTCTGAACTGGCCCGCATCAACTCTCTGCACACCTCTGCCTTCAGTAATGTTGCATGGCTGCCTACGCTGGTACCCAGCTCTGTTCTCGGTAAGCGCTTTGTACAGTTTATGTAGACATTGTCCAATCAGACAGGTCATGACAATTGTTGAGGAATTAATTAGCCTTTTATTTGCACAAACCCATGCTTAATACGTTTCAGACTATTAAACAGTTGTATGTTCTTTAGAGCCGCCACATTTCTTACGAACTTTATGTCCATTAGGAACTTACTGCAACAGTGCCAGCGCCTGCTTCGTGGCTTCAGATGGTAGAAACCTGCGTCTCTATCAGGCTGTTGTGGATGCCAGAAAACTGCTGGATGAGCTGTCAGATCCTGAAACATCTGTGAGTGAATATGCCGTCGTCATTTAAAACATGTTAAGTCTCACCGGCATGTGACAATTTACTGTAGTTTTTGTGAAATACACATAGTTCTAGAGGTTTTTGTCTCACATTAAAGACAAGGAACTGTGAGGGTTCTGAATTTATGGAGGATACTTTATGTACTAATTTCTCAAATGATTTAAATTTGGATATGTGTGTTTTTCACATTCCAGAGTAAATTCATGATTTTCAATGATTTTCTGTAAATTTCAAAAATGAACTTGTGTGTGGATCTTTGATCAGAAACTGGTGGGAGAAGTGTTCAACATCGTCAGCCAGCAGTCCACCGCCAGACCAGGATGTATCATAGAGTTAGACGTCATTACAAACCAGGTTAGCAGCTGCTCTGGGATTTCACATCCACCTGGGATTCTGGTGTGCTTTTGTTTTCGCAGATGTTTTCTGTTATCAGATGTTTAATGAGAAGATGCAGTAAACTGATGCCGTGTCTCTGTTCATCTAGTGTGGCGCCAACACTCAGCTGCTACATGTCTTCCAAGAGGATTTCATTCTAGGTTACAAACCTCAGAAAGAATCTGAGGCATACACACCGGCCTTTTCAACTGGAGAAGGTATTCTTCACTGTTAAAATGTTTTATTACATTTTTATAATGAACAGGATTGCACTGGGATATAAATGCTTTTTGTTCTGCACAGATTACCAGCCTGCCACATTTTCTGAGAAGTTCTTCCTGGTGGTGATGGAAAAGGATCTGAACGGGAACTCGGACTTGCAGATGTGGCACTTGCACCTCCAGTCTGTGCAGGCCTGCGTTGGTGAGTCCGAGGTGCATGCCGCTGTAGCTGATGGAAATCTAAGTGATGAGGTTCATTTAGCTGTGAAAGCATGCAGCATGAAATCAGCTGTACTGATGTGCGGTTCCAGCTGAAGATGTTTTGTCCTCGTTACCAGATGAGCCGAGTCAGCATTTTAGCTTCCAGAGCCAGCTGATGGTTCCTAATCAGGTTGTGAATGCTGACTCTTCCCCGGAGACGTCACCTGTCAGACCCCTGCCGCGGTCAGCTTCTACAGCCAACCTGCAGTCAGCTAGCAAACTCATCCTCAGCTCCAAGCTGGTCTACAGCAAGAGGCTCGATCTGCCCCATGGGGTGGAGGTTACGAGGGCGACGCCTTCTGCAGGTTGGAAATATGTCTGCGTGGATGTGTGTGTTTATGTTTGGGAGAAATGTCTTTGTAGTCAAATGGAAATAAAATTTTTGGCATTTTTTATTAGGATTAACTGAAGGACAATGTTTAAATTTTTTGGTACAATCCAGTTTTGTTTATAAAAAAAATACTAGAAATCACGTTAAGATGTGGTAACTTGCTTCACTATTTATCATATTTCCTGTTTGTCTTTTTCTCTAGGTCATCTGAGTTCCTCCTCTATCTACCCCGTGTGCCTGGCTCCGTATCTGATCGTTACCACCTGCTCCGATTCTTTTGTGCGGTTCTGGCGCTGTGCTGTGGACGGCGATGACGGTTATGACGGTTATGACCAGGAAAACCGAGCGTACCGCTGGGAGCCCTGGGTGCTGATGAATGAGGAGGAGGACAACAACAGTTCTGTGTGTGTGACAGGACGACCCGTAGCTGTGTCCTGCTCCTACATCGGCAGACTGGCTGTAGCTTTTAAACAGCCTCGACACGGACAGGTGGGAAACTAGAACTAGACAGTATTTATTTTAAAAAAAAAACTTTGATGAACACGTTCGGCTGCTTCTCCTGAACCCTCAGCTGCAGGGTTCCACGGAGGACTTCTTAATGCGCGTGTCCATCTACGAGTGTGAGTCTACTGGAGGCTCTGAGTGGGTTTTAGAACAAACGGTCCACCTTGATGATTTTGCCAGACCCGCATCAACTCTGGATCCAAGAGTCAGCGTGGATTCCAACCTGTTTGTCTACAGCAGGTCAGGGTGGAGCCACACACCTGTTTGTTATTTTGTTTTAGTTTATTTACTTTTAAAAAAAACCTTCTGTTTTTCATATAATTGATTCTGTTTCAGGACTGACCTGTACATGAGCAGAGACCACAGCTCACCCAACATCAAGCACTTTGTCCATCTGGACTGGCTGTCGAAGGAGGACGGGTCTCACATCCTCACCATCGGAGTTGGCTCCAACATCCTGATGTACGGTCGCATATCTGGAGTGGTCAATGAGCAGACTAGCAGTAAGGAGGGCGTGGCTGTCATCACCCTTCCTCTAGGGGGCAGCATCAAACAGGGGATTCGTTCACGCTGGATTCTGCTTCGCTCCATTGACCTTCTCTCATCTGTGGATGGTACTCCGTCACTGCCAGTCTCCCTGTCCTGGGTGAGGGACGGCATCCTGGTGGTGGGCATGGACTGTGAAATGCACGTGTATGCCCAGTGGCACCAGGACAAGAAGCCCGGCGATGGAGAAGAGGACAGGCTGTCATCTACAGATATTGCTGGAGGTCAAACAGCAGGTTCCTCTTCTGTCAGTGAAGGGAGAGCCAGGTCTAAGAGTGTGTTTGAAGGGAGCGCTGGAGTGGATGAAGCCCTCAGGGCCCCAGCAGGACTACAGGAGGGTGGACTGTTTGAAGCTGCTCACTGCCTATCCCCAACTCTACCACAGTACCATCCAACCCAGCTGCTGGAACTCATGGACCTGGGCAGGGTTCGCCGTGCCAAAGTAAGCCTGGTGCTGCCTGATTTCTTTTTAGAGTATGATGGATGCTCAGATCTGTGCAAATCAAATGGTTCGATCAAATAAAGACGTATAACTGACACTTTTGTCTTTCTTGCTCGTTTTTCCACACTTTCACATCCTTTGTGACGAATATAGGCTATCCTTGCACACCTGGTGAAGTGTATCGCTGGAGAAGTTGCTGTGGTGAGGGATGTAGAGGCGGGCGAAGGCGGATCCAGGCGGCATCTTTCTCGAACCATCAGCGTGACCGGCAGCACGGCCAAAGACACCATCGTGGCTGGTCGTGACGGAGGCCGGGACTACACGGAGATCAACTCCATCCCTCCTTTGCCTCTCTATGCTCTCATGCTGGCTGACCTGGATGCACCTTTCAAGAAGAAACTGGAAGAAACAGTCAGAGTGAACAAGGTGTTCGACGGTGACGCAACTCAGAAGAACTCAGAGGACCAGTATGCTGACCTCTTCCAGGTAGGAACGGTCAAAAGACCTTTAATGTTTCGAAGCTGCACCCGAGTCTGCAACTGTTTTAACAGACTGTGTCTCTCCTGACAGATGCCAGCAGTCACAACTGATGACTTTGTGAACTTTGCTAATGATAAACCAGAGAAGAAATCACGAGTCATTAACCTTTCTCAATATGGACCCACTTATTTTGGACCAGAGCATGCTCAGGTATTGCTTGGAATTCAAATGGTCAGACTTTAGAGTCACATGTTAAAATATTGTGATAAAACGTTTAATAGGGAGGTGAAAGGCTACATCAGTGGAATAATTATGCAAAGTTTCTGATTATTTTCTAGTTATTGACTCTAATAAAGTTAACTGTTTGTTTTTCACTTTGCTACATGACTTTTTTTCTGTCCCCAGGTGTTGTCCAGTCACCTCATGCACTCCAGCCTCCCCGGACTCACAAGGCTGGAGCAGATGTTCCTGGTGGCCTTGGCTGATACCATTGCAACCACCAGCGCTGAGGTCACCGGCTCTTCTGATCAACAGTACAAAGGTCACTATATGATGTGTGTTCGTGCGTGTGTCCAAATTTATCTGGTTACTGTGTTGCGTGCTAATAACTCCTAACCTCTGTCAGAGATTATATTCTTTTAAAGTTGTCTAAAGGTTATAAATATATTAAACAAACACAATGTTTTCTTGATTATGTGTTCCTGCATCTAGTTAATCTCCAGCCATCAAATCTTTAATGACAAAAACAATCATGCATGCTGTTTCTTTTTATTTTATTATTATTATTATTATCATTGTCTCTTTTTCTGCAAATTTCCTTCCAATTTATTTAGTCTTGTGAGAGGAGGACATAGGCAGGTTGTTCCAGGGCACAGTAAGCTCAGAAGAAGGTTCAGGGACAGGAGATATATGCTCTGACATGAACTGAAGTGATGGGGGAGTTTAAAGCCACACTGTGCAACTTTTATATTTTAAAATCATTTTCTTGAACCAGCATGTGCTAAAATGACTCTTCACAGGGTTAATGAAAGGCCACCCAGCCGCCATCGCCCCCTGTGGCCAGAATATTCCACTTTCAATTTCAGACTGACGGGTTGCTCTTTTGGGACTTAGAATAAAATTGAGCTGACATACCTGGTCTGCTTCCAGCACATTTCCTGTATGTGTTAGATTACGAACACAGCTGATTTGTTTAATTTAGTGATGGATTACTCCTGTAGACACTAATGAAGGCTGGGAGACGTTTCAGCCCATAGATCAATGCTATTCCAGTTCGGGCCTCGAGGGCCGGTATGCAGCATGTTTTATTGGTTTCTCTGGTCCAACACACTAGATTCAGTGGTTGAGTCACCAATGCAGCAGCTAATCAGGCTCTGCAGAACCCTGTTAATCACCTTCTGATTGAAACCAGGTGTGTTTAAGCTGGGTTAAAACTAAAACGAGCTGGACACCGGCCCTCAAGACCCGGAATTGAATTGTCTTGTGTTAGATAAACTCATTCACTGCCAGCCGTTTCCTGATCGCTAACGTCCTTCGCTGCCAGCGTTTCTCACCGTTTTTACTGTTTGTTTAAGAGTCACTGAACGTTGTGCGCTAGCATGATGTCGACGCCAAAACAACCAAAACAAAGAGGAGACTCACCTCTTACATCAGGAAGAATCCGCGTGTTTTCAGCATTATCCATTCTTTCATAATCCGTTGTCGAATTGTGATCGGCAGACGCTTTTCTGGTTCGCGCCTCACTTTTTTTACAGGAACGGCCCAAAACGATCTCCTAACACATGGATGTTCTGCTTCCTGATCACGTGACGTGTGACGTATGCGGATGAAGATCGGCTTCAGGGCTGAGACGTTTGTTCCCTCAGCGTGGGGGCTCGTTCCGATTTTCAAACAGTAAAAAATGCAAATGACGACTTTAGTCGTCATTGGCAGTGAACGGTTGGATCAAAAATAACGACTAAAGTCGTCATTGGCAGTGAATGAGTTAAGGTGTTAAAAAGACAAACACACAGCGATGAGAATTAACAACGGACACCAGGGGGTGCTAAAAGCAAGCAAAACTGCCACGTGTGCCTTTAAAAGGGTTTTTTGATGTGATTAATTTAAACCTGATGACAAACCTGACCACCGTGTGTTTGTCCAGGTGGTGAGGCTCTTGATGAGTGTGGACTGAGGTACCTGCTCGCCATGCGGCTTCATACCTGCCTGCTCAACTCTCTGCCTCCTCTTTATCGCATGCAGCTGCTTCACCAGGGTAAAAACCAGTGTGTTATACTCATCAGTAGAAACCTGTAGCACTAATAAACAAAATGTCTGTTTTCTTGAACGTATGTTTCTGTGTGTTAAAAAGTGAAAGGTCAGTTTAAAGATGCGTTGGGCCGACTGACTGCAGATCTCTAAGAATAAACAAAGATGTTTACTGTAAACAACGACGTGTTAATATGTGAACCCTAACTAATTAAAAGCTCTAACTTTTATTCTAGTTTTTAGTTGATTAGAATAACTTTTATGTCATTTCTTTGATGTAAAGAAAATGAACACAAGTTCACTTTTTGCCACGTCGCCGACCTTACACCTCTTCTAGAGCGGTTCCCCCTCATATTCATTCCTGCTCATCCTCTTCACCGTCTGCCTGCTTTTATTTCCCTGCCAGGCCTGTCCACCTGCCACTTTGCCTGGGCCTTCCATTCTGAGGCAGAAGAGGAGCTGCTGAACATGATTCCTGCCATGCAGAGAGGCGACCCGCAGTGGTCGGAGCTCCGAGCTATTGGAGTGGGATGGTGGATAAGGAACATCAACACTCTGCGGAAAATGGTGGAGAAGGTACTAGAACTGTATATTTGGATGTTTTAGAGCTTAAATAGTTTTTTTGACTATTGTATTCTGCACTATAGTTATTTTTCATAGCAACAGATTGATTTATTGTCATTTTGAATCAATTAAACTGGGATACACCAAACCAAAGTAAATTCTGTGTGTATAATGCTGTCAGTGAAATCTGACATTTGCTGAAATGTCTCTGTAACATCCATGTTTGTTTGTTCTTGAGCAGCTGGGTAAAGCTGCGTTCCAGAGGCACAGTGATCCTTTAGACGCTGCTCTGTTCTACTTGGCCATGAAGAAGAAAGCTGTCCTGTGGGGACTCTTCAGGTAGAGCATCGTCTCCAAATACATCCATGTTACAAACGGCATGTCGGTTTGTTTCCAAGCAACTTGGAGACATGAATCAAGCCTCATTTTCACCTTTTCAGATCTCAGCATGATGAGAAGATGACACAGTTCTTCAAAAACAACTTCAGTGAGGACCGCTGGCGAAAGGCAGCCCTTAAAAATGCCTTCTCCCTGCTGGGAAAGCAGCGCTTTGAGCAGGCTGCTGCTTTCTTCCTATTGGCTGGCTCCCTTAAAGATGCCATAGAGGTGTGAACAACACACACACACACACACACACACACACACACACACACACACACACACACACACACACACAACCTTATCTACACCCTAGATACACAGACAGCTTATTATTTAGAGTCTTCTCCTGTGCACCATTTTCATTTCCTTCTCAATAACAATGAAGCAAAGAAAATGAAAGTGTGTGTATGAACCTCTAGAGCTAATGTCTGCTGCAGAGAGAAGCTAGTTACCCTGCAGCCTTTTGAAAACTAGAGAGAAGCCTAAATTTTGCTGATAAAATGAATAACAATCTTGCATATTTTTCCTTGGCCTGGGGTTTCCAACCACACAGTCAAAACATGCAGATAGAAGAGAAAAAAAGTCTGAGCTTTTCTGTGTTTCTGCCGCAAGCACAAGTTTGGTATTTAGTTTATATTTTATACATTCATTTCAGAACTTTTCAGGACTGTACACTTAAAGTAACTGTGATAAATAAAATCTTGTCACATGCAATCCGGGTCATAAAAGGTCAGTATTGTCCAGCTGCGATTGTGATGTTAATTATTACTAATTGTATTATTCTGAATACTTGAAGATAAAACTTTATCTTTATGTACTGACACATGCTCAGGTCAACGGGGAGTACACGAGGACTTCCTTTCATCTAAAAGTCCCCTCCATCACAATCGGGCTAAATCAAAAGTGTCAAGTCTTTTGTTTTTAATCTGTGTGGCAGATGAGGATAGGGAAGAAAGTCAGCCCAAACCTAAAGCTCAAGGCAGGGATTTATGTTCTAGAAAAAGGTAAAGAAGGAAAAAGTGCAAAGTGAATGTTGGTCATAAATCTAAAGCTGCTTTCATAGTAACATAATTAAAGCTGAGCTTCGCTGAGAAACTGTTTTTACTTTAATTTTTGAATCACGGTCGGTCACTCAGAGTTTAACATGCAGGCTAAATGTGGAAAAAGTCTTTCTACTGTTATTACCTGCATTAGCTGCCAATAGAAAATAGTCAAGGAAACGCTCAGGCCAGAAAAAGCCACACAGATCTGAAAATAAGCATTCTTGGCTGATTTAGCATCCAGGAGACAGCAGTGCACATCTCGGCTATTAAAAGCTAACCGTTAGCATTGGCAACTCCACAACATGGCAGAACTCCTCCAGCCCTGCAAACAGTCAACGTCACATGGACTTGCAGATCATATCTATGTTGAGTTTGCCGGCCCAGACCACGTTTGTAGGATGTCCAAACTAGGTCCTTGCACAGTGGGAGGCTTGTGTTACCTGTGGAGAGAAACACACCAACGATGCAGAGCAGAGTCAGTGGTAGAGTCAAGTTGCTGTTGGTTAATCAGAGGCGAGATGTCTTAATATCATGAATAATAATGAGTAAGACTCCAAATACTGATGTTTTCTGCCCCCCACTCCTCCTGGTAACTTCTGCTTCCTGAAACAGGAGCGCCCGAGCTTTTTTTCCCCACAGAGAACAACTCAGTTCATCGTAGAGACCGCTGCTCTTTAGTGATGCTTCCGGGCCACCTAAGTGGCCTCGAAATGGACATTTTAAACCAAGGTCAACATTTTAAGCCAAGAAGAGCGAGACCCCACAAATAAACCAGCAGCTTGACAGAGAAAACTGCAATAAAACACAATAAAACCTTTTTTCTTGCAGAAATTTTTATATCCATTTTCGTTTTAACAAGCATCCATTGAAAGTCAGTCTGGAACGAAATACAATTTCTTTTATCTGCGTTGATCCAAGACAACATGTCCCAGAAACCTTTTCATTCAGTATTTGGGCATTTTCTGTTCAATCACTATTGAGACAGTCACAATGGAGGCCAACATCCCTCCACTCAGAGTGACTATGGCTACATGATACCATGCTCCACCCATAGCTTTACTGTGATTCACTCTATCTGACTCCGTCATAAGAATAGCTTCATCTGCTTTAGTAACTGTGGTAAAACATGCTGACCCTGCTGTTTTTTAATGTGCAGGTGTTGATCGAAAAAATGGAGGATCTCCAGTTGGCCATGATAGTAGCAAGACTGTATGAAGCTGACTTTGAGAACTCCTCAACGTGTCAGGGCCTCCTTTACGAGAAGGTTTTGGGCTGCAACAGGGATGGGAGTGATTACAACTGTTCCAGGGTGCACCCTGACCCCTTCCTTCGCAGCATAGCCTACTGGATCATGAAAGACTACACTCAAGCCCTTGATACGCTGTTAGAGAGAAACCCTAAGGAAGATGAGAACCTGGGTGGGCAAAACACAGAAATACAAACTTAAACTTGTCTGCTTTGCCTTTAATAGTGCTTACTGTTTTTCTCCCTCATCTTGTGATAGATTTAATGGTGAAGTCTTGCAACCCTGTGGTGTTTAGTTTCTATAACTACTTAAGAACACACCCTCTGATCATCCGTCGCCACTTTGCTAATCCAGAGGGCCCAGCAGCAGGCGTGGGCCTCACTGCAGAGAAAAGTGGTGCAGATGAAATAAACCTTATTGAGCGCAAACTGTTCTTCACTACTGCCAACGCACACTTCAAGGTGAGCCCATCGGTTGTGCAGGTTATTCAGTCCGCCTCCTGTACAGCGTGGTTTGGGTTTAGGTGATATGTACATTTTTTTTCTGCCACTTTGTGCTGTCGTGCTCATTTTTGTTATTTGTGTTCATGCATAGGTGGGTTGCCCGGTTTTGGCTCTGGAAGTGCTTTCCAAGATTCCCAAAGTTAGCAAAAAGTGTGGCTCCTCGCCTCTCAGCAAAGCCTCATCAAAGGCCAACGTGAACTCGAGCCAGCCCTTAGAGAACGGTACACGGGGAGAGGTGGACTGGGGCTCCGCAGCGGCAAAAACACACAGCTGGGGTGGAAACGATGGTGGCGGTGCGCTGGACTGGAGCCAGCCTGCGGTCAAGCTGGAGGAAGATGAGCTGAAGCTTGATTGGGGAGATGACAAGGGTGATGAGGAAGATGACGATGAGGAAGGGGATGGGGAGGGTTTGACCATGAAGAAACCAGATCCTGAAACCAAGGTCGACAGTGACTCCAAACATCAAAAAGACGACTCACAGGTAGGAAAAACATCTAGAATCACCTTTAAAAAATATTTCTGCCATTAGAAATACATTTGTTTTCATTTTAAAACATATTTAAAAGTTTTAATTCTCTTTCAGGATTGATTTTTCTATAGTTTTTTTTTGTTTTGTTTTTTTACTCTTGTGAAAGTTTGCAAAAAAAGTGTTTTTCTTTAAGTGCTTCTGGATATTCTTAGGGTGAGTCCGAGGTAGACGTGATAGCGGAGCAGCTGAAGTTCCGTGCCTGCTTGAAGATCCTGATGACAGAGTTGCGTACGCTGGCCACCGGCTTTGAGGTGGATGGAGGGAAGCTACGCTTTCAACTCTACAGCTGGCTGGAGAAGGAGATAGCAGCCATGCATAAGATCTGTAACTACAAGGTAACGCTTCAGAAGTTGGATCCCGTTTTCTTTCCCGTTCTGTGATCTTTATTAACGGTAATTGTGATGTTGATGTGCAGGTGGAGGGGAAGGAGGAGGGATCAGAAGTGGAGCGAGCTCGAACGGCTTCTTTGGACATATCTGATGATGCGTTTGAGTGTTCGGAGGCCGGGGCTTACGAGCGTCACCAGATGGAGCGTCGTCGTCTGCAAGCCAAACAGCAGCACTCGGAGCGACGGAAGGCATGGCTGAGGAGAAATCAGGCTCTGCTGAGGGTTTTCCTGTCCTACTGCAGCCTTCATGGAGCCAAAGGTGGGGGGGTAACCTCTGTCCGCATGGAGCTTCTGTTCCTTCTGCAAGAGAGCCAACAGGTACACACAGATACACACCTTTCTGCACTCCCTCCCTTTACTGACAGGTCATTCCTGTCGTTCTGCTCTGCAGGAGACCACGGTGAAACAGCTGCAGTCTCCTCTGCCGCTGCCCACCACGCTGCCTCTGCTCTCAGCCTGCATCGCCACCACCAAGACCGTCATCGCCAACCCTGTTCTCCACCTCAGCAACCACATTCACGACATCCTGTACTCTATCACTGTGATGGAAGCCCCGCCACATCCTGACATCATCGATGATCGGGTTAGGAATCCTGCTTTTAACCAGGCTCGCTCTCTTAAGTAGCATTTTTGGGTTTGTTGTTGTAAATTTTGCTGCTGAAACCCTTTGATTTGGTTTTTATTCATTATTATTTCTTATTTAATTAAATGTTTACTAATATGATAGAGAAATTGCCAAAACCTTCAAGGGGATTATTATGTGGCAAACTCCAAATAAGCATCAACATCTGATGATTTAGAAAACTGTAAAATTTCTAGATTAGAAAAAAACTACAAAAAACATGTTATTAATACTAATATACTAAAATAAAACTAAGTACTAAAACAATAGTAATATTTCCTTTCCCTCCTACTCTCCTTATGTCACAATAAAATAACGTAAAATAACCCACTATTTGAACACGTTATAACTTTTACGGCCTTCTTAGACGGGCTTTAGGAAGTTCTGCTAATGAGACGGGAAGACCGTTCCACACCTCTGGTCCTCTCCAGAGTACACTACTGAGTCAGGGTTGTACGAGAGTAAAGTGGCCTATCGAGGGAACTACACGTTGAATTCTGATGAAATTCATAATTAAGAGAAAATCGGGTGACAGTGTTGAGGAAGTACGTTTTTTATAGAGCTGTAAACAAATATTACGACTTGAAGCCGATTAACTTGGTGAACACTAAGAAAACTCGACTGGGCAAAGAGAGGTTGAGATGAGTGTCTGTGATTAACAAAAACATTAGGCCCATGGCTCGTTTTTGAAGACGAAAAATGGATTCCAGTTTAGTTGGATGGGTGCTGGCCCAAACAGCATTACAGTATTTAATATTCAGATTCAACATTGAATAATGCAGTATAATTTTTTATTAATCAGGCACCAAACTTTCCCGAGTCGCCCTGTAACTTTGGCTATTTTTATCTCTAATGTGGGGTTTCCAGAACAAGAACAGCAAACTTCCTTAATGGGGATTTTATCAGTTTGGATCGTCATTGAAATTTTACGTGAACTAGATTTATTACTCAAACAAATAACACTTGTTTTTTTTATGTTAAGTAACAGTTTATTCGACTTGAACCAAGTAGACAGCTTGCTAAGTTCTTCATTAACTTCCTTAGTAAGAGCGACTCGGTCTTTATGGGAGTCTTAATTTTTAAATCAGCGGATCACTTAATCAGAAGATTGAATAGAAGTTCTGGTTTCTTATTTTTATCTGAAGCTCTTTGAACCTAAATTATATGTTTGATGTTATTTCTCTCCAGTGATCTGCCGGCACTTAAATACCATATTGCCACTTATTTTTATCATCATCTGCAGCACATTGCACTGCTTTCACGTTGTTGCATTAGGTGTTTTTTGTTTATTCTCAGGTAAATGCCCTGCACACGTTGGCAGCATCTCTGTCTGCTTGCGTCTATCAAGCATTGTGCGACAGCCACAGTTACAGGTAATATGTCAGCAGTGCAGCGTCACCAGCCCAGCTGCGTCTGCGAGATCTAATTTGGCTTCCTGGGAGCAGCCTTGTTACGGTTGGACTTAGTGGTCTGTGCATTTGTTGTTTGCTTTGCAGCAGTCAGACTGAGGCCAACCAGTTCACGGGGATGGTTTACCAGGGGCTGCTGCTTAGTGAAAGGAAGCGACTGCGCACAGAAAGCATCGAAGAACATGCAACACCAAACTCTGCTCCTGCACAGTGGCCAGGTAACCAAGGTCACGCTTTTCTAACCAGAGCATTTTTCCATTAAACCTTTATTACTTTCATACAATTGTTTTGCAAAGACTGAAGTTAAAATACATTCAAGACTCCTCTCAAGGTGTGCTGGATGGAGGGAAGTGATTTATATGCAAGAATCAGAGGCTGGACTGTGAGAGAATATGGTCATCCGGCAGGGGGGAAGAGCAAAGCAAAGCAGGCCGACTGTTTATGCAGAGAGGCAGATGGTGTTCTATAACAGGAGCTCTGGCCTCTGGGAAGGGAGGAACTGGAAAGACAGAGACTAATCATGTCATCTCGCAAATGTTTCAAAAGTGGTTCTGCTTTGTGTTCCGAATGTGTTTTGTGCATACGTGGAAAAGCTGTTTCTGCAGATTTCACGTAAAATGGTTGTCCCTCTCTGCAGGTGTGTCGTCTCTGATTTCTCTGTTGACATCTGCAAGGGAGGAGGACCAGCCAAAGCTCAACGTGCTGCTGTGCGAAGCGGTCGTGGCCGTTTATCTTTCGCTGCTCATCCATGGGCTGGGCACTCACAACGGCAATGAACTCTTCCGCCTGGCAGCACATCCTCTCAATAATCGCATGTGGGCCGCTGTCTTTGGGGGAGGAGCTAAAGTCATCATTAAGCCAAAGAGACCGGAGCTCCCACCAGGTAATGGTATTTATTTATAATTCCACATACAGTTTTGAATTGCTCTTAATATAAAAGGATTTAGCCATCTCTTGTTTTTCTCGTTCACTTGTTGATGCGATCAGCAGATCTGAGCCAATAGGTCCATCCCTCTAAGTGTGTCTACATAAATGATATTCACCTAGTCCTGTCCTGTTGATACCACCACTGGCGTGTGGTGTCTTGTGTGAATGTGCCCTCTGCCCTGTGCCCAGTGCCAGCTGATTTTGAGGCAGCCAGGCCAGAGGAGTCTCAAGAGACAGGAAGACCTGAGCAGAGCAACCTGTTCCCAAACCCCACTCCCATCCCCACTGACACCCAGCGCCCCAAACGCCCCCCTCCTCCTGTTTCAAGGGGAGCGGGGCTGGGTGCTGTGGCACCAGCACCTGAGACCAGCTGTGAGTAACCAGGCTGGTGGATTGCAGTGCTGGCTTGCCGGATTGCAGTGCATGGTTCTCGTGCAGGTTTGAGTTGCTGCAGATGCTTGACCTTCTCCTTGTTGACCCTGTGAATCTACTGTTGATAGCCCGATCCGAACATTAAAGCCGAGCAGTGCTGCAAAGACATCTGCGCTCACTGTTATGATAAATCAGCAGTGTGTGTGTGTGTGTGTGTGTTTTGCATTGCATGCCCATGCTGTAATGTCATTTGTGCTCATTTTGTTGTTTCATGTAACAGCTGGGCCTAGCGTGGAGAGTTCAGTGGCAGAGGCTGAGCAACCTAAATCGGACTCTGAGACTGAATCAGGTATCCCCCGAGAGGTTTGGAGACCAGTGGAGCACTGCTCTAGGGCCGGATTTTAGACTAGAAGCTAGAAAATATAAATGCTTCACTGCAGACTAGCCCTGAGCGGCGTGACTACACGTTTTTTTAATTCGTAGATCAAGGGCTGTTCCCAGAGCAGCTCTGCCATTAAAGTTTATTGACAGAACTTGAGACTGTTCATCCATAATCATGAGGCCAGAGTATTCTGTGCTCAAGTTTTATTTATGTGGGGGCAAGATAGGAGCTGGCATTTCGATATCACATTTCTGTCATGTCTGATCTAGCTCTCAGCAAGGCCAAGAGGCTTCAGCAGAGTTCTTCTAGAGCTGAGGCAATCTTAAATGTCAGACGGGGGAAGAAAATCACTTGTTACGACTCAGTCCTTTTGATGCAGGACTCGTTTATTTTACTAACATACCTCGATGCAGAGAGGATGCCCATTATTAGCTCCTTCACAGTCTAATTAACACTCATTTTGTTAAAAATGAAATGTGACGTCTGTGTGCTTTAGGTGCTGTGGGGAAAATGCTTCTGCATAACTTGTCAGCATCAGTGTATTATTTTCTGTGTGTGGTGTTTAGTTTCACTCAGTACATCAGATATTTACTGATTCAGTTACGTAGCAGACCGTGTGTGTGTGTGTGTGTGTGTGTGTGTGTGTGTGTGTGTGTGTGTGTGTGTGTGTGTGTGTGCGTGTGTGCGTGTGTGCGTGTGTGCGTGTGCGCCTAACTGCACTCTCTGCTCTGGTTTGTGTGTGTCGTCTGGTCCAGTGCCAGAGATAGTCACCCAGGATAATGGTGCAGGTTTGTGTCTTGCCCTGTGTGTCCATCCTAAATGTTTGCCAGTTTGAATCTCCTTCAATGTGTGAACGTTCAGCTGTGTGTGTTACGATTCATTGAAGACGCAGAATGTGTGCTTTACTCTGGCATTTTTGACATGGCGGGGGCGGTTTGCTGTGTGGAAATATATTTCCTCTGAGTGAGGCGTGGATGCCTCCTCCTCATCCTAATCTGTAATTTTCACCCTTTGGAATGAAAATGAGGCAAAGTCTCAGACTGCCCTGCTGAGTTTTCAGAGCTCACTGTGACGTTCCAACTCTTGGTTCCTCTCCTGCCTCCCAGCGACTCCCCCTCAGGCCCCTGCAGAAGACTCGGACCGATACAGACGTAGATTCAACATGAGGATGCTGGTTACAGGGCGCCAAGTGAAGGAGACACCTGCCACTCCCCCTCCAGTTCCCACAGAGAGACCAACCTATAGGGAGAAGTTCATCCCCCCCGAGCTGAGCATGTGGGACTACTTTGTAGCTAAAGTAAGACATTAAATGAGCCAACGGGTGAACTGTGACTCCCGATTTTTCATCTCATGGTGCCTTTCTTCACCGTTACCTCTCTCCCCATCTCAGCCCTTCCTGCCGCTGTCCGAGAGCAATGCTTTGTATGATTCAGACGAAAGCGGTGCTGAAGATGACGAAGATGACGATGACGCCTTCCTTTCTGACACACAGATGACAGAGCACTCTGATCCCAACTCCTACAGGTAGGCTCCACTTTCTCCTGTTTAGTATCGCCCACGTCTGCAGCCTGTGGTGTGGTTCGGATTTGTGTCTCACCGCTCATCTTCGGGACTCTTAGCTGGGCTCTGATCCGCTTGGTCATGGTGAAACTGGCTCATCACAATGTCAAGAACTTCATCCCTCTCACTGGCCTTGAGTTCACAGGTATACTGAACCTTACATCTGCAGTCATAGCTTCTTATTTATGAGTGATTTTAATCAATCACTGTTTGTTTTTGTATAAAAGATCCCATACTCTAATACAAATGAAACAGAGCTGCCTCTGCTGGATCTTTTTTGCCTCTGTTACAGATCTGCCCGTCAGTTCTGCTCTCTGCAACGCTGTGTTAAAGACCTTAGAGACCTGGGAGCAGCTTCTGTTGGAGAGAATGAACAAGTTTGATGGTCCACCTCCAAACTACATCAACACTTATCCAACTGATCTGAGTGCTGGAGCCGGCCCCGCCATACTGCGACACAAGGCCATGCTGGAGCCGGACAACACGCCATTTAAGTAAGTTAGACATTCTACAGTCTTGGCAACAATATTTCATAAATTCAGAGAAATCTGTCCAACAACTTTGTTGAGACAAAATGGATTTGGATGATCAGTTACTGAGGTTAAGTCATTGAGGCCTCAGCTATTTAAAGTTGTGGAACAATGAAAACAATTTTTTTTATTATTATTTCTGATTATAGTTGGTCACTCTGAGTTTTTCATGAAAGAAAGAAAACAATCTTTAATGTAGCGCCTCTCAAGATAAAAATCACGAAGCGCTTCACAAAAACAAAACATTTCAAATATAAAAACTGATTAAAAAATATGGTTAAAAGAAGAAAATATCAATTCTATTGTGAATAAAGAATGTAAGGAAAGGGAGAGAGAAAATGAATAAGAAAGAGGGAAATCAGTCGATCCCAGGAAAGTAGGAATTGGTAGAAAGAGCAGAATAAGGACAGGGTGATGAGGAAGGTCGCACAAAAGCGTGACAAGGTCAGTTTTCTGCTGCTTTTTAAAGGAGACCACTGAGTCCACTGGTCTCAGGCTCAGGAGGAGAGAGTTCCAGAGTCTGGGGGGCTACAGCAGTGCTGAACATGAAAATAGTCTCCTACAGCTATCTCCTGCAGAAAGCCAAAGACAGCACCAGCGTAATACTGAGTGCTGCTTCCCATTTAGAAGTTTGGAAGCATTTTGAACAGAATAACCAATGAGCTGAGCGGAGAGGCGTGGAATGCAACTTCTAAAGCAAATTTCTGCCCATCTGATATGAATTTGATTTTATTATATATTTATTTTTCTATCTGTTTTTGCAGGACCAAGAACCACCAGTCCTTCCCAGTTCGACGTCTGTGGCACTTCCTGGTCAAACAGGAAATTCTTCAGGAAACCATGATTCGTTACATCTTCACCAAGAAAAGAAAGCAGAGTGAGGTCAGCATTTCCACCTTCATTGCATTTGTTGTGATCTACAGAGCTTTAATCTGTGTTCGTTATGTTTTTGTTAGTGTTATTATCTTTGCTTTGACTCCTCAGACATCTCTAAGCACAAAACAGATCACTGCCTTCTGCGATGTCTGGAAATATTCAGAATCGTTTCCATGAAATCTGCCTTTATAGCTGCAAGTCAGGCAGGAGGAACATTTCCAGGGATTTGTCTGCCATGTGCCTGATTACTTCTTATTGCAACAGACTTTCCAAGTTGGATCAACGTGCTTTCTGTTACAGATTTACCTGTAACAGTCACAGCTCATAACTCTATTTTAATGAGGAGGACTAACAAGACGTTTTGAGTGTCTTTGTTGAAAAACCAAGAATACAGAAAGATCCTGTCAGTCCTCTTCATTTCATGGTTTATTTTTCTGTGTGTGTGCATGTGTTTTTGTGCCGTGTTGGTTTGTTCTGTGTCTGTATTCCCTCTGTGTGTTGTGTAGTCTTTAGAGAACCATGTGGACCGTATAAACCCAAACTGCATAGCTGGAGCTAGCAGTCCCTATAAGGTAGTATCATTTACCGTTCCAGCCCAGGCCCTGGCTCTGTCTGTTTTTCTGTTTCAGAGATTCGCTTCCAAACCAAGCTTGAAGGAGAAAATGCATGTCTTGTTAAAAAAAGTAGTAGTCTGCAGGTTAGATTCGCAGGTAATGGTTGAGAGGTAGCATCAAACTGGGTGAAGCACTGGGTTCCTCCTCTCCAGCTTGGCCTCAGAGTGTCTTCTCTGTCTTTTTTTATTTCATTTTCTCTCTAGCCTTTTCTCCTCACTGGGATACTTTACAACAATCACACACATTACCTCACATCCCTTCTGTGTCTCACTCCTTTCTCCTCTCTAGCTGGACTTATTCTGCTGGACCCAAACAGCAAAGCGTTGGCACATGAACTAACTTGCATGCTTACTGTCGGGGCTGCGTGAGGCTTTTGTAATTGTGCAGGGTGTTGTCACAGCCCACACTGACCAGATTTACCGTAACCGCGTGCGCCTACGTGTCTATTTTTGCTATGATTATATCTCTCTTTTGGATGTGGCTATATTTCTCATTTCTAATCATTTTAGAAGCAAACTAGTTGTCGTCTAGGCTAAAATCTTCTAAGTCAGTGGCTGCAGATGAACGTAGATTCAAAGTCTCTATACCTCCACTTATGATCCATAGATTCTCTTTCCTTTTTACAGGTAGAGGCAGATCTTGGCTACCCAGGAGGAAAAGCTAAGATCATCCACAAGGAGTCTGATATAATTATGGCTTTTACCATCAATAAGGTCAGTTATATCTTTGTTCAGGGTTATGCTAAGAATTACTAAGATTTTATTCAGTCTGTGCTGAAGGGTGATTTAATGCATTTTCATGAGAAGGTTTTAAGATCAAATCAGAGTGAATTCATGTCACTTTTAGGATTTAAATGCAACTCTTGACACGTTTTCTCCTAATTGTGCCTTTTATCCTTCATCCAGGCTAACTCCAATGAAATCGTGTTGGCCTCCACCCATGATGTCCAGGAGGTGGATGTCTCCACCCTAGTGGCTGTCCAGCCATACACCTGGATAGGGGACGACTTTGATAAGGAGTCTAGAAGGTTTGTATTAAAACAAGATCACAGAAATTATTTTGTCTTGTTCCTTAAAATAAAGCAACAGTCAAAAAGAAGGTTGGATTGGATGGACAGGTTCTGTTTATTTTTACAGCTCTGATGACGTAGATCATCGCTCGTCTCACACAAACATCGCCCAGGCGAGCACCGTCTCTTTTGCTCCACCGCCGATGCCGGTCTCTGCGACCATGCCGTGGCTCGGTAGCGGTCAGACCAGCATGGGGGCCAGTGTGGTATGATCCAGTTCTGCTTCTCGCCAGGCTGTATTCTCAGTCACAGCCAGTAGGGGGAAACCCAGTTCTTTTCTACAGACCACTCAAAACCAGTTCAGTGACTTTATATTGGATGTTTTACAACAAGCAAATAATGAACTTCTAGGTTTACCAACAGCAAATGCAAACATTTGATTCAGTAACTAAATGACTGTTATCCTGCCGTCGATAGTGTCTGCATGTTGTCAGACAAAAAGTGTGTTTTTGATATTTATCAACAGCGAATCAAACAGCAGTGCCGACCAGACGGTCTTAAAATGCTGATACAAAAGGGTGGGGGTGGGGGTGGGGGGTGGGGGGGGTATGCCTGCATGGTAGAGGGGGCTGCATGTAAACACAGATAGCAGCAGCTCTCCCAGCCGGCTACCCAAGGTACAGATTTGCGTCTCTCCATCATCCAGCCAGGGTTCTCCATGTCCCAGCCGGGCTGATAAATGTTTGGTGTGATGGAACACGGGAGGGGAGGTTAGTTTGGTGTCTTCATTCAGTTCTGCTTCATCTTATTTTCCAAAAGGAGCATTTAGGTTCAGCTGCACTTAAAGCTGAGAAGTCTTCTTTTGTTCTTCTAGTAAATTATCGCTAAAACATCATTTCCAGAGATTTAGTATCATTTAAGAACAATGCTAATTACTCTGCAGAGTTCGGGGACTTTGAGTTGGGCTCTCAAATCTCTGGTGCTGAGGTCACTGAGGTGGTTAAAAAGCTCCTCTGTGGCAAGGCTCCAGGGGTGGATGAGATCCGCCCGGAGTTCCTTAAGGCTCTGGATGTTGTGGGGCTGTGTTGACTGCAATATCGCGTGGACATCGGGGGCAGTCCCACTGGACTTGAGTTGAGGTGGCTCGGGCATCTGGTCAGGATGCCTCTTGGATGCCTCCCTGGTGAGGTTTTCCGGGCACGTCCAACCGGGAGGAGACCTAAAGGTAGACCCAGGACACGGTGGAGGGACTATGTCTCTCACCTGGCCAGGGAACGCCTTGAGATTCCCCCAGAGGAGCTAGCCCAAGTGGCTGGGGAGAGGGAAGCCTGGGCCTCTCGCCTTAGGCTACTGCCCCCGCGACCCGACTCTGGATAAGCGGATGAAAATGGATGGATGGACTAATTACTCTTCTGAAATTCACTTGGCAGAATAAAGGTTTACTAAAATATATGATGCATCGCAAAATTGTAATTTGTTTTATTTTGTGGAGAAAAGCCGGTTAGTGTTGCTGTGCAGCAGAAAAACATGCAAACACAGCAGTGTTACTGAAATCAGCATCAGGCTAAACAGAGTTAAGTAAAATAAATTCTAAAATGCAGGTTTGTTATTCCTGTTGACAGATTTGATTTTGCAGATCGATGCAATAGTTAACGCTTTCATTTAAAGTGACACTTTGCAACTTTTTTGTATTTTTAAGTCCTTTTCTTGAGCCATTATGTGCTAATATGACCCTTTACATTGTTATTAAAGACCACCCAGGCCCTATCACCCCCTGTGGTCAGAATATTCCACTTGCAACTTCACAATTGCCGGTCTGGTCTATTGGATTTAAAAATAATTGAGCTGACATACCTGGTGCTGCAGTCTGCTTCCAGCACGCTTCCTGTATGTTTTAGATCATGAACACAGCTCATTTGTTTAATTTAGTTATGAATCACTCCTGTAGACACTAAGGAAGGCTGGGGAGACGTTTCAGCTGTCAGGTGTTAAACAGACAAACGCACAGCGAGGTTTTGCTTTCAGTTATTTTAAACAGACACTAGGGGGTGCTAAAAGCAAGCCAAGATGGCCTAGTTCTCCTTTAAATAGTAACATTCAAACATGGTTCTGGTTCTGATTCCTCAGCTCGACAAAATCTACAGTTTGAGAAGAATCTGAGAATACTTTGTTTTTGATGTTTTTCAGATCATGAAGAGAAATCTGAATAATGTAAAGAGAATGACGTCTCATCCTATATATCAGTATTGTAAGTAGTAAGCCCAATTAAAAGAAGATTTTTAGTCTTTTGAGTCTGTTTTTGTTGCCTTTTCATCATATTCTGTGTTGTTTGCATTTGTGTCTGGTCCTCAGACATGACGGGGGCTCAGGACGGCAGTGTGAGAATGTTTGAATGGAACAGACCTCAGCAGCTCATCTGCTTCAGACAAGCAGGCAACGCTCGAGTCACTCGGCTCTATTTTAATTCTCAAGGCAATAAGGTACACACGTGTGCACACACACACACACACACAGTAGCAGTTGTGTTTTGTCTACTTGATGGAATTTTTGTGATAATTCTGGATTCTTGCTGCAGTGTGGAGTTGCTGATGGAGAGGGTTTCCTCAGTCTCTGGCAGGTCAACCAAACCTCCTCCAGCCCCAAACCTTACCTGGTGAGCCCACGTCCAACCCCTCATCACCTCATACACACAAAACAGCCATCTGACTTAAGGAATTAAACCTTTAGTTTGTTTTTCTTCTCCTCTTTTTCAGAGCTGGCAGTGTCACTCTAAGACCTGTGGTGATTTCGCCTTCATCACGTCCTCCAGCCTGATCGCAACAGCTGGACAGTCCAACGACAACAGGTCAACATCTGCGCTGAGGAGAGGCTGCAACTGAACCATCATCCTTCCATTTTAGTGCACAGGTTTCATCTGTTGTTCTGTTTGCTTTCCACAGAAACGTTTGCCTGTGGGACACTCTGATTTCTCCTAGCAATACCATGGTCCACGGTGAGAAATCTAAGCTGTGATGTTGTTGTCATGTCGAGCTGCTCTGTGACGCACTTTTCTCGTCTCATCCCTCCCACTCTCCAGCATTCCCCTGCCATGAGAACGGGGCCACTGTACTGCAGTATGCTCAGAAACAGCAGCTGCTCATCACCGGGGGCAGAAAAGGTTTTGTGTGTGTGTTTGACATTCGCCAGAGGCAGCTGCTGCACACTTTCCAGGCCCATGACTCAGCCATCAAGGCCCTGGCGCTGGATGCCTACGAGGACTTCTTCGTCACCGGCTCTGCAGAGGGCAACATGAAGGTAATGCAAGCTCAATCGCTCGCTTTACGGTGCAGCACAAACACTTTAATCATGACCTAATATCCTCCTCAGTTTCTTTATGTTTTTATAATGATTCTCAGCATGATCAGTATTATTTAACAGTAGTTGTAACAAACATGAATAGTATTTTGTATTTGTATTTTTTTACATATTAAACATAATAAAGATTTGAACATTTCTGTTCCCTCACAATCGTCCTCATTCTCCAGGTGTGGAAGTTGGCTGGCCATGGGCTTATGCACTCTTTTAGCAACGAACACGCCAAGCAGTCCATCTTCCGCAACATTGGCGCAGGCGTCATGCAGGTGGAGACGCGTCCAGGAAACCGATTCTTCACCTGCGGAGCAGACGGCACCCTCAAGATGAGGGTCCTGCCTGACCGCTACAATATTCCCAGCAGCTTAGTCGACATCCTGTGATGCCGATGTCCACATCTGAGGGTCCAAAGAGGAAAGACACAAAGAGAAGAAAAGATAATACCTTATGTAACGCTCTGGCTCTAGGCCTTTATAGTAGAACTGATAGTTTGTCAAAAGATCACCACGCTTTTGGCATCTTTGAGTGTTTACTGGTTTACTGCTGCTGTAAATTATGTCCAGGATGATGAACGGAGCTGCAAACATTTTGTTTTCCCAAAGGCTAAAAAACGGTTATGAGCAAACGGTATCACACCTGGATTTAAAGCTAGATTTATTGTAATTTTATTGAAGAGTCTCTCTTCATAGAGTGTGTCCATAGGGAAGCTATGCATGTCCTGTTCTCGTCACGCGGTGCAATCACAGGTCTATTGATAGTGCTCTGTAAAAGTGCTCAAGCAAAAATTTTAATAGTGTGTAACTGTTGTCATTTTGTGCCCACAGCTGAAATCTTTTAGCATCTACTGTAACCAGCACTGTGGTTTGTTATTAAGTCAGTGGTGAATCAAGTTGTTGGAATTATTTTTTTGTTTCAGTGGTTTTTTGCTTCCCCTCTTCTTCCTCCCTGCCTTTTCACCCAGCTTTTTCTCTGCTTGTACGGAAGAGTCAACGGCACATTTTTCTTTTTAGTGACCCCCCTCCTTACCCCTAATCACTGGTAGCCTCTCCTGGTTTGAGTTTGGCCCTCAGGTGTGTGTGTGTGTGCGCACTCGCTCTCTGCCAGCCGTACCCGCCCACCTGCCCCTGAAAATGCCTGTATGTGTGGCAGACTCACTGCTAGAACATTCCTCTCGCAAAAATGACGTTTTCCCCCTTGACTGTGATTTCAGTGTTCCATCTGTCCAGTTTGAATGCTAAACGCCCGCTCACCCACCCAGAGCAGAAACACAAAGATCCACTTCTGGTTTTTGCACAAAAAAATATATCTGTTTTTCAATTAAGTTGATTTTAATATTTTAAATATGTATATGTTTGTGTCATTGTTTTACCTTTCCTTTGTTAAACTATTTAACTTATTGCCTTTTATTTTAGGAATGTAAGAGGTTTTACTGTATCTGAGTGGGAGATGTGCAGCAGTCTACTGTATGTAAGTGTGTTTACTTCACTTTTACTATTTCATCCATAAGGAATAGATATTTGCACTCAAATTCTGGAGACACTAAACATTTATTTCAAATATGAGTTAGAGAAGAAGAACTGTTGTATACAAATGAATGTCAGGCTTTATTTGGCCTCGTAGTAAAGCGTTTGAAATAGTTTTACTATATAAATGATATAAATATATATAAATGATATATATATATGAAATACCACAACAGCTTGTACAAACATGAAAGCATTTCTTTATTTTTGGTTTGTATCATAACCGTTGGGTTAGTTGTGACTTTTGTTAAGTGTATGTTTGGTATTTATTAAAGAGATTTGTGTTTCTCCCTCTTTCTGCTCACTATGTGTACTGTATGTATCTTGTAGGAGTTTTACCAATTGTCTTAATGATCTGGTGTGTGCGTGCGTGTGTGTGTGTGCGTGCGCATGCTAAAGAATTCAAAATTGTGGTTAGATGTTTGCCAGGGACTTTGAGGCTGACGGTGTGTGACAGAAGGCTCAAGGTCAGTTTTACCTATGTAAAGTGAATAAAAGACTTTTTGTTTCATCAGGTTTATTTGGCACAGTTTTTATTTGTTTTTCTCCTGAGCAATTTTCTACTAAAAGTTGTAATCAAAGTGGGTTCATGCTTCTAAATCACAGAAATCACAAACTAGAAAATCTATGGTAAACATGTACATCTTTATGTAGAAAAGAACCACCATACAAATGTAAAACCATGCACCTAATACACAGGTTAAAGGTGCAGTATGTTAGAATATAGAGACAATTTTACTGTGAAAAAATCCCAAAAGAGTCTGTTTCAGTCATTTTGTAAGGAAGGTTATACTGAAACATATTTCATATGCAGCTGGCTGTGGGGATTGTCGGTTGTTCTCCTTTCAAAACAATCAAAGGAGGGACGCAACTACTGTTTACCATCAGTGAGGGTGGGGGTGCCGTGTCTCCTGCGAGCGAATACTGCAGCGCCGACTTTGTAATTTGACGACAGCCGGCAAAAATCTCCAGAGTTGTTTAAAGTGGTTGCAGTAACTAGATTTTACAAGATGTAATTTTTACTTCATTTCTACATAATGCACCTTTAACCAAAGAAGGGTTTTTGGCCAGAGGTTTCGTTTTTGGGTTATAATCAGGAAAACCGAGGACATTTATAACAATAGGAGAGATTGCACTCAATTCACATGAGTAAACAGAGGGTTCCTTGTTTTGTACGGTTTTTGTTCTGTTACATTATCCTATTTTGCCCTAAAATCTAAGTGTTCTTGTGTTAAAAGAATAACCTGCTTCCAGAAAAATCTTCAGTTCAGATAAATGGAGGACATCTTTTAGGACTGATGAGCTAACAGCTAGTCTGAGTCCAGTGAGAAATTCTTGATACTTCTACCAAACAAAGATGGTAATAGAGTTCTCCATCAAGAATCTTGGTAAATCTTATGTATCGAGGTTATTGTGGCAAAAATGGTTAATATGCCATGTAAATTAGAAGTGATGCAAAAGCTGCTTTGAAATTCTGGAGCCGTTTCAAGGCAGCAGTATGACTAAGCTCAGACTAGTCATTTTCTCATCAGCCCTGGTGAACGTAAATTCTTTCATCTTCAAGCTGAGGTCATTCAGGGAGTTATCTAAATAGAGTAAGATAGTGATAACTTTTAAATTGGGACATACACATAAGGAAACCCTAACAAAAGCTTCACCGCTTATCTGGTCAGGGTGTCTGGTGTGAAAAAAAGCATTGCCAACTTACACTCTTGTTAATAAGACAAAGTCCAAAATGCAATGTGACTAAATACTTAAACCAAAAGCGGAGTCTGATCCAAGAGTTGTTTGACTGTAAATTTTAATATCTGAAGTGAGCAGCTGGTAGTCTGCAGGGGCTGCACATGATGTAACAATAATTATTTGTTGTTGTTTGGTTCAGACAGTGGTGTTTTTTTCACTCATCAGAGATGTAATGGACCACGTAGAGCCTGACATAACTCTGGTCCCACACATACAGGTGTCTGTCCTTCGGGCTGTAGGAGAGCATAGCCAAAACTCCACCTGGAGACCTTAAGTCAAAAGTCATGTTGACTGCCTTTCCCTTCACCAAGTCAAAAGCAAAAGTGACTCTGGTGTCCTTGATGTCAGTAACGTACAAAACACCACAGGCGATGAAGGCGTTGCCGGCCTTGGTGCGGGGGTATGTGGTGTTTATGAACAACGTGACAGAGAAGGTCTTCTGGTCCAGCTGGGCCACCACAATGCTCTCATCCACACTGGATGCAAATATCAGCCACAGTCCATTTTCATCCACTGCCATCTTAAAGTAGGTCTTGGAGTTTGGTAGCAAGTAGGCAAGGTTGTTGTACAAGGCATCGTCTACACTGAGAGTGTGAAGCTTTTTGGTTTTAAAGTCAAATCTGTGAACATACATGCAGCAAAGAATTAGGTTAAAGTGACAGTGTGTATTTTCCCAGGCGATAGGATGCAGTACAAACCTAAATCATTGCAAGCATGCATTATTATTGTGTTCAAATAAGACCTTGTCAATGGATGTCCATTAGGGTAAAAAATCCCTGGGGAGTGCAACCTCCAGCAAAATGACTAACACATCAGACCCCCTTTCATCACTGGCGATGAGTGAAGAGGTTTAATGGTGAAAGTTTGGTAACCATTTGTTACAAATCAGTAAATGTGTTTTGTCCTCACGGGCTTCCGTAGAAGGAAACATGGCTTCCAATATGCCGTCGCCCAGAGACTTAGGGTGTTTCTCAATGTCAAGGCACCTCGTCTTGCGAGGCCAGGCGCCTTGCTTACGAGGACACTGGTCAAAGAAAACGGTTAAATGGAACAGACTTGCATTACATGACCGCGGCTTCCATGGCGGTCATGTAACATCATGTGACATGGGAGATAACGTTATATTTTATATGTGTGTTTCAATATGAATATATAACAAGCCTTTTACTTTTTTAGTTGTGTATATGTTTGTTACATATATAAGTGAGTTACTACCCGCTAGCCACCAAAGCTGCAACTACTATGCAACTAACCAATCATAGATGACTTCTTTGGATCTAAAAAAAAAACATTTTAAATTAGTTGATTTACTTTTAAACTTGAAATTTTCCCCCAAAGTAGGTGCTGACTTCTGATCCGCCATCCTTTTGAAAATACAGCAGGTTATTCTGGGTAATTTTTGACAAAGGCTAGGCTACAAGACACCTCCCGTGTATCCTTGCTCAGCTAGCTAAACGGCTAACAAACGGAGAGCACACGGCTCAGTAGAACATGAACATTGGAACATGTCTTGGTGGTTCCTGATGACGTATCTCCTAGGCAACCGGGCCAGGGCCAAGACATCAAGGCGAGGTTCCTTGGCATTGAAAAACACCCTTAGACCCGCTCCCATGTAGTTTAGAACAGTTGTTTCATGGTTATATGTTACGAAACTATCAATATTTTTCTACAACTGAGTGTGTTTTAATTAATTTACAAAAACATTTTTATGCAGA